ACTACTGACCAATGATTAGTTCTGCTAGCTTTAAGAAGTGGTGTGTGTATGTGTGTGTGTATATGAGTGTGCGTATTTTTTAAAGAATAAGAGTAAAATGTCCTTTTAAAAGTCTGTTTAGTAGTTTTGCTTTGGTTTTTGTACAAAGAGATTGTTTTCTGTGCCTTGTGAGGACTTATTCCTGCTTTAAAGAAAATAGCAGTAACTCATGGTCATAGAGAGTAAAAGGATGGTTACCAGAGGCTGGGAAGGGTGGTTGGGGGTGGAGGATGGGGGGAGGTGGGAATGCTTAATTGGTACAAAAAAATTAGAAATAATGAATAAGGCCTACTATTTGATAGCACAACAGGATGACTACAGTCAATGACAACTGTATATTTTAAAATAACTTAAAGAATGTAATTGGATTGTTTGTAACTCAAAGAATAAGTACTTGAGGAATGGATACCCCATTCTCCATGATGTGCTTATTTCACATTGCATGCCTGTATCAAAACATGTCATCTGCCCCATAAATATATAAACCTACTGCATACCCACAAACATGAAAAAGAAAAAAAAAAAACTGCAACAGAAGCAGAATCAGTTCTGTTAGTCATTGTTAGCTCTGCAAAGAGAATGGGTCTGACAGTGGTGAGATTTTAAACAGAGGAAAGGAAAAGGAATGTACTGCTGAAAAGAGAATAAGACAAAGCTTAGGGGGAAAAAGTTACATATTCCATGTAGCAAACAACAAAGCCAAAAATTTCCTTTGGCAACAAAAAAAGCTGCTGTGAGGTAATAAACATATTTTCCCTATACTGTGGCAATGCAATTTTTAAATCCTAAATTAGGGCCCTTTAAAATATGCCCCTCTGGCATATTTTGCCCATGTTCCACTAGTGTATTCTTAGAATTCCCAGAGATGAGAATGATGTAACGGCCCTTGAAATCTGCCCTGATCTCCAACATCTGGATTGTGACAATTACTGAGCTACTGTTCAGATACAAGTTACTCAGAGAGGTAAGCCTGGAATCGAGTAATCCTTGCAAACAGGAGAGAAGATTATAAACAAATTTGTGTTGAATGAATAAACAAATGAAACAATAAACAGATCACCAACTAAGTACCACAAACTCTTGATTATCAGAGGTTTCTAGGTAGCTTAAAAAACAGTGCATATAAAAAAATCAACCCATTTACATGTTAGAAAGCATCTATCATTTGGAACCAGCCTTTAGGTAAAAATAGATTCTAAAATGTGGCTACTGTAATGTAGTAATACCTGTTTTCCTCCTCACCCACTCTTTGCCAATCGCCCCTCATTAAAGGAAAAGATTTATTTGTCCAGTGATAAGTACTTGGTGGAAGCTCAATTAACCTTTATAAAACCAAACTAATACTACTAATGAAAATGTCTAAGAGAGAAAGCTATAGGCAGTTCTGTCAAAAACAGAGCTCTGTATAATGTATATAACCTAGTTAAAAACAGAGCAATCAGTGTTATGGAGGTTAGTCCTTTCTGGGCCACTGAAGGGTGATTCGGTGTGTAAATATGGTTTAGACTTTGGTTTATTTCACAAAAGTTTTAAAAACAGGTATCTCTGTTTGTGCTACAGAATCATCAAAGTGATGAATATAATTTAAAGTTAAGTTTAAATAAATTCAGGCCTAGGAAGCCAGCCTCCAAACCTGTTCACTGATTTAATTTTAATTTCAAACTTAAGTCTTAGTTGTAATTTTTTTTTAAAAAAAGGCAAATTCACAATTACAAGGGATGTTTCTTGTCACATACTCAGCAGATACCAAATCATTATGGTCTATGTATAGTCCAAAAGAAGTTTTTAAAGTTACAGGTGCCTTTATTTTTCTTAGGAACTCTATTATAACTTGAGCTGCAACTTTCATAAAGACACTCTAAAAACAAAGAGAAATCTTTACCTCTCGCAATTAAATTTCAATAAAAATTTCAATTATATGAAGTACTGGATTTTTCCTGTAGCCCTCATATTAAATTTTGTGCTTAGTATTAAAGGAATTAAAGTCAATTTCTTTACCAGTGCATTATGGGGAACACAAATTAAGATGAAAAAATGAACTGGGAATATGAATGCAAATATTGTGTATTCATATTCTTATACAGCATAATCTGTAAATCTAGTACTAATGAGACTCAAGATTTAAATGGCTGAAGAATGTTTTTAGTGAATTATTGTCAATCAATGCCTCTGTTCCAGGATAAATGTAATCTTGAAAGGCAAAACACCTATTATTACAAATTCCTAACTAAGTACAGTACTTCATTATTTCAAAATGTCACTGTCAATTTATAGAGTAACAGATAAACATCTTTCTACCATATATCTGATTGCTTTTACTAGACTAAATGAAACACTGACTATTAAAAAAAGTATAAACAATATTTTTATAGCAATAGAAGAAATCGAATGTGCATTAAAACTCGAAACTAGTTACAGCACTCCAAATTTTCACATTTGTTAATGTCGATATTGGGTTTCATTTTTAAAAAATATTTTAAAATTTATCTTTTTTGTTTGTTTGCCTTTAAAAACAGGGTCTTACTCTGTCACTCAGACTGAAGTGTAGAGGTGCAAGCATATAGCTCACTGCCATGTTAAACTCCTGGGCTCTAGTGATCCTCCCACCTGAGCCTCCTGAGTAGCTAGGACTAAAGGCATGCACCATCATGCCCAGCTATTGTTTCTAATTTTTTTTTGGTAGAGATGGGCCTTGCTATGTTGCCCAGGCTTATCTCAAACTCCTGGCCTCAAGCCATCCTTCTGTCTTGGCCTCCCAAACTGCTGGGATTACAGGTTTGGGCCACACTTATTACAGGGTCCCACTTTGTTCTCCAGGCTGGAATGCAATGGCATAAACATGGCTCACTGTATCCTCAACTCTCCAAGTAGCTGGTATTATAGGAAGGCAACACCACCCCTGGCTAATTTTTGTATTTTTTGTAGAAATGGGGTTTCACCATGTTGCCCAGGCTGGTCTCTTAACTCCTGAGCTCAAGTGATCTACCCCCTGGCCCTGGCCAGGTTTTATATCATGTTGTAATCAAATATTGTTTTTTCCAAGTTACTTTATTTTATATAAATTCAAATATTCATTTATTCAATCACTTAACAAATATTTACTGAGTACTGACTTTGTCCGAGGCACACTGTTAGGGGACAGGGTTACAAACATGAATGTGATATGATTCTTGCTCTTAAAAAACTCACAGTTTAATGTAATACACGGATAAGTAAATAAAATAAAATATAATAGTTCAGGGTTATACTAAAATTGTGTATGTTTCACATTTGCAATAACTAAAGGATAGCCTATTCAAACTATCCTTAGAATCATTTCATCATTGTTCATAAATAAAACTCTTACTTGTTTTAGGGAAATCTTTTAAAAAGAAATTTAAAACAGATAATCTTATAAACATCTGTGAACATAGCATCTCAAATTAACAAATTCTAATATTTGTTTCATATTTTATTTTAAGGCTGTTTTCTAAATCCAGAAATTTCTTGATTGATCCAAGTACTAATGACTACTTGAGATTATTATTTGTAGCTCTTGTCAGCTATATGACCTTGGGTAAATTTACTTAACTTTGCCTCTCAGTTTTCTCTTCTGAAAAGTGGAGATAATCATACCAATCTGTGCTAGATTATCTGCCATTTACCCCCTCAGGATCCATGTTCTACACAGCTTTGTGCCCAAGGAGGTTCTCCTACCTTCCAGCTTCTAATTGGGCTAAATTAATTGGAGACACTAGCAGGAGATTAGAGAAGGAAGATGAAGCTGTTTCCTGGTTTCGTCCCTACTAGGCCACCAAGGTTAGCTATTTCCCTCTATCAAAAGCAGTTTTCTCCATATATAGCACCCTCTCCTAGGCTTTAAGGCCTCGAGATGATAATGGTTCCCTTTAGCCTTTTAGCCTTAGAGTCTGTATTAACTTCTTCTTCTTCTTTTTTTTTTGGAGACAGACCCAGGCTGTAGTACAGTGGTGTGATCTCAGCTCACTGCAACCTCTGCCTCCCAGGTTCAAGTGATTTATCCTGCCTCAGCCTCCTGAGTAGCTGGGATTACAGGCACATGCCTGGCTAATTTCTGTATTTTTAGTAGAGACAGAGTTTCACCATATTGGCCAGGCTGGTCTTAAACTTTTAAACACAGTGATCGACCCACCCTCAGCCTCCCAGAGTGCTGGGATAAAGGCGTGAGCCACTGTGCCCAGCCTTTTCTGTTGATTTTTGAAAACCCTGCCCACATATTTACAAATAGTCACCTTATTAAATTCTTCTTAAATAACCTAGTTTAAATGTGTCATCTATTTACTGCCAGAATGCTGACTGATATACAACTTCATGGGTTATTCTGAGGATCATATGAGATGATGATTAGCACTTAGTACAGTGCCTGGCACATGACAAATACCAGGTAAGGACTGAACATTATTGCCATCAATAATGCTTTTATTATTATTTTGAGGTTCTATGTTCATGCTATCTGTAACACCTGAATATGTGAAAAATTCAGAATGCTGGAGATCCTTTGCTAATTCTCACAGTACTTCAAAAATATATTTAAATGTAAAATGTGCTTATTCCTAATTGATCTCTTAATATTTAAAAAAAATAAGAGGACCTTAAAAGTGAGTGATATAATTCATATAGTAGACTTAATTTCCTGGACTATAGTTTCTTCTATAAACATGCTTCTGAACTCATTTCTTGCAAATCGTCTTCCTGTAACCACCCCAAATCTAGCAAAATATAAATAGTCCATAAATTAAAACAAAATTATTGGGTTTTGGGGTCGTAAAAAGAATGGACTGGTACTGGTAATGCCAATGACATACTCCATCGTATAAAAACCCTTGAATTGGGAAATAGATCTTCATCATCCTTATTTATCAATCATATCATAGGCATGTACCACCACTTGACAAATTAACTCATCAAAATCCTGTTAAAGATCTGCTTAACCTTTACCTTACCTCATCCTTTATATCTTCCTGTTGTTGGGCTGTGAAGATCTCCATTGCGGCCATGAGTCTCATCATTAACTCATCTACTGTTGTGTTACCTAAAACAAAGAGATTGCCAAACTTTATATAAGCTTTTTATATATCACTTCAAATTATTAAAGTATTAGAAACTGGAAAGTCATTCTAGAATTAACCAGAAAGGAATAACCAGTCTAAAAAAATTACAGTTAAAATACTTTTGTGGTTTTAAGAAATGTTTCATATGTTCAACAAGAAAGAGTAAACTAGTATACTAGCAGTTGAAATTTCAGAACAGTTATATTTGAGAGAGCAGTTTTTTAATAAGAAGGACTTTAAGTACTATATACAAGAATGTCCAAATCATGAGGTTCAAAAGTTCTGTCAAATTATGAAAACATATCTAGTTAATAACACTAGCAACAATTACCAATTGTTTACATATCACTGATTAGACTAAACACTTTACATATACTATCTCATGTAATCTGTACAACAATTCTATGAAGGAGTCATTATGATTTGATTTTAAAAAGAAGAAAAATGAGTCTTAGAGGGCTCAAAAAACCTGCCTGACCACAGTCAAGCTGATTAAGCAATGAGGCAAGAATTTGAAACCAGAAGAGGCTGACTGGAAGCCTGTCTCCTTTGCCACTCACCTCAGTCTCTCACCTTTACTTAGAATTATTTTCTATTGCTAAAAATCCTCTAGTGAAACAAACAATAATTCAATTTCTGAAAAAAATTGATTTCTTTTTTTGCCCTATTAATATTTCTCCCTTTAAGCTGCTTTTAAATGATTTTTATAATCTTTATAAAGAAGATATTTTAAATGTTTGATTTTTCTTAATGTCATTTTATTCCCTGACCAAGTCCACAACAAACATATAGCACATATATGCCATTTACTAAACACATTAAGTCATTGTTATTTGCTTGGGGTATACCTACAAGAAAAAAATTCATGAGGATATATAAAGATATGACAAATCTCTTCTCTCAAACCTTCAGGCAGAAAGAATTAGGCTTGAGAAGGGGTCTTCTTCCCAATTATGAAATGGCCACCAACAGGACAATAAAGATCAAGCATCCTTGCTGGCATTTTTCCGGAGGGCTTGACTAACATAATTTTTCAATGGTCCTTTCCCTAATAATCCTTATGATCACTGGCAGCATGTAGCTCTCTAAGGATCAATTTCCTTTTCTCAAAATGGAGATTGTAATGTTCTTAGAAGGAATGGAGATAATATAAAGTATACACACAATCATTGGTAGTTAATATTAATAGATATGACAGATGACAAAATAAGTTTAGGAGCACCTTCAAGGTAGATTTATCGTTTATTTTTTGAGACAGGGTCTTGGTTTTTGCCCAGGTCTCAAATGATCCTACCACCTCAGCCTCCCAAGTAGCTGGGATTATAGGTATGTGCTACCACATCTAGCCAATGTAGATTTTAGTATTGGGCAAGTCACTGGGTTTCCATATTTTATTTAAAACTGTAGTGGCTAAGACTCAGAGCATGGGAAATGGATACTATATGGAGTATACTGGAATCATCAGTGGGAAAATACTGTAGTCACAGTTGTATAGGTGACTACATACTGGCCATTAATTTGTAGGCTTAAGTCACTGCTTATCAGCTATGTTTTAGCCCTAACTGGAAGGATACACTGCCAAACTGAACTTGTAGGTACTTCATACTTAAGCCCTATTGATCAAAGACAGAGAAAAAGTGTACCAGTTAATTTAGTTCAGGGCAAACTTACTCTTTATAGTTGATTGCGGCAGTTCTCAAACTTTTTGGGCTCAGACCCCTTTACACTGTTAAAAATTACTGAGATCCCCAAAGAACTTTTGTTTATGTGGATTATGGCTATTAACATTTACTGTATTAGAAATTAAAATAGAAATTCATTTAAAAGTAATGATAATAAACCTATCACATGTTAACATAAATATTATGTTTTATCAAACATGACTATTTTCCAAAAGAAAAAGTTTAGTGAGAAGAGCAGCATTATTATAACATTTTTGCAAATCTCTGTAATGTGCATGCTTAATAGAAACAACAGCATTCTCATACCTACTTCTGTACTAACCAATTACAACATGTTGTACTGGTTGAAATTTATGAAGAAAATCTGGTAAGATAGGTAGTTGGAAAAGGGAGAAGTAGTTTCATAGATAAATGTGGATATTCTTTTGATACCACACTTAAACTGACAAGTCTAAGTTTCTTATTAGAGGCACATGGAGTTTGAAACAATATCAATGAAATGTGCATACTCTGTCACATTAAAATTGCCCTTTGATTGGATCTTTTTATCTGTACATGATTTTATAATATCATGCATCGGTCATTTGTAAAACATTGGTTCACTGACTTATGCATTTCTCTGCTGAATGCTGACACTTCATTATAGAATATTTTAAAAATCACATTTGTTAATATCACCACTGATTTTATTAAAAAGTATTTAAGATACCAGCCTTAAGGTGGACGACACAAATTTTTGCTTGAAAACTTGAATTTTATCAATAACAACAGAGACCACAGATTCACTTTGTTCATTTTGCAGAAAATGTCTGGCAACTACCCAGGCTATATAAGCACAGTTTGCCTGTCAGTAATATTTTCAGGTAAAAACAGTTTCTATAAGAAATAAAAAGCAAGTAGTTCAGTGTAAGCAACCATACCAGTGCTTTTCTTCGAGACCACCAGTATACTTCAGTATGCAGCAGAAGTGCTTTACCCATACCTCCCGTTGTGCCACACAAACTATTAAAAGGGCTAAAATTTAATGAAAGTACTAATTTTTACTGCTTCATCAAGAACATTCTTAAGGCTTTTTAATTTCTTTTTTAACCAAATACATGGCAATGAAGAATATGTCTACTAGTACAGTTTTGTGTTATGGCACTGATTCGTGCTAAGGCGCCAAGAATTTATAAACTATTCTTTTTGAGCCACTAGTACAAATATCAACACAGTAAAAAAGGCCAAAAAAAAAAAAGGCCGGGCGCAGTGGCTCAAGTCTGTAATCCCAGCACTTTGGGAGGCCGAGGCGGGTGGATCACAAGGTCAAGAGATCAAGACCATCCTGGTCAACATGGTGAAACCCCGTCTCTACTAAAAATACAAAAAAGTAGCTGGGCATGGTGGCGCGTGCCTATAATCCAAGCTACTCAGGAGGCTGAGGCAGGAGAATTGCCTGAACCCAGGAGGCGGAGGTTGCGGTGAGCCGAGATCGCGCCATTGCACTCCAGCCTGGGTAACAAGAGCGAAACTCTGTCTCAAAAAAAAAAAAAAAAAAAAAAGTGTTGTTACAGTATGAAAATAATTTTGTCCTTACAGATCCCTTGAAAGGGTCTAGTCTGAAGTCTACAAACCACACCTTGAGAACCACTAGTTCTTGCAACATTGCCTCTGACAGGGAAAGCAGGAAAGAAGTGTTATCTTCATTATCCATTTATCCTATGCAAATAAGTTTCCCTGCAGGTCTTTTTAAACACTGTTTTTGAACTGAATGCTGTAGTTATAGAGAAAACATAAAATGCTAGAGGTCTGGTTTTGTTTCGGTTTTAAAGGCACTGCATTTTACACATATCCTCTCCTCACAATCAGACTTAAATGGAGGCAGAAATTAGTATCCCATATACAGTTTTAGCTTCATGCTTCAGGGTTGTACCCTAAACATGGAATCATACAAATAAGAAGACACAATTGTCACTGTGAAAAATTCTATCTTCAATTTACAGTAACTGAATTTTCTAGATAACTAAAGATAAGTATTTCTTTCAATAAATCAACATTATAGCAATAAATCAATATAAATAAGAAATGTCATATTTGACAACTGATTATGTCCTAATTGCTAGATTACAGAATTTAGCAATTCCGAACATTTAACTTGAACACCCTGTGTCCCAAGGGTTGTGCAATTTTATTAAGATGTTCTGTTAGATTTTCATGAAGCATATTATTTTTTATAGCACCTATACTTTTTGAAGACATTCTTCAGGATGTTGTACATTTTCAAATGCAAAGATATTCATGAATAGAAATATTGTCAGTTTTGATGGAAAAACTATATAAAGTTATCACATACTAGGAAGACTTTACTCTCCTTGTGACATATACTTTACCTTGTATCACATTCAACACTTCATTAGATGATCGCTTTCCCATAATAATCAGGAAAAGCGGAAACTGATCTGTTTTTTGAGTCCGAATGGTTTGTGCCACAACACTGCCAAAGTGTCTATTGCACATAGTGAGAAATCTAAAAGGAGACAAAATACAAAGTGAGTTTCGCTTTACAGCTTAATGGATTTACTAGTACTCAACAAAGAACGCATTGTGTTATTAGTTATGTTAAATTAGACAGTCTGCCTGATATCAATATGTAAAATATTGCTATATTGAGCTTTCAACATATCTGACATGACACAGAAGTGATTATCATATAGAAAAGCAGGAAGCATACCGTAAATGCTGTCTGAGGCTAACAGCATAAGATTCTTTTTTTTTTTTTTTTTTTTTTTTTTTTTGAGACAGAGTTTCGCTCTTGTTACCCAGCCTGGAGTGCAATGGCGCGATCTCGGCTCACCGCAACCTCCGCCTCCTGGGTTCAGGCAATTCTCCAGCCTCAGCCTCCTGAGTAGCTGGGATTACAGGCACGTGCCACCATGCCCAGCTAATTTTTTTGCACTTTTAGTAGAGACGGGGTTTCACCATGTTGACCAGGATGGTCTCGATCTCTCGACCTCGTGATCCACCCGCCTCGGCCTCCCAAAGTGCTGGGATTACAGGCTTGAGCCACCGCGCCCGGCTGCATAGGATTCCTAAACACTGTAACACTACCCTTAAACTATGAGAAAAACAAACTAATTTCAAGAGGATACGATTTCTTAAATAGAATAACACTGTGTTGTACAAAGACAAATTGACTAGCATCATCCTAAAAAACAGAATTTAGCAACATTTTCGCAAGTCTTTAGAATCAAGAACTGTACTTTACAACTGTGTTTTCTCCAGTAGTAGTGGGTCTTCTAGTTTCATACTTAGCATGAGATAAAAATAATAATTCTAAGCTTTTGACCAAAAAAAAAGCTCCGAGATATTAGCATACTGAAGTCTAGCATTAGTATTCTTAACACGATCTGGAATAAATGAAAAAACTGATAAAGCTTTTCTCTTCTATTAGAGGACTGTTTGAAATTAGCATTTCTTTCAAGAGAAAAGGGTAGCTTATGATATGTTTTCAGATCTGATGGTAAAAAGTAAATGTCATAATAATAATGAATTATGAAAGACCAAATGCAAATATAGAATGCTTTAATAAGATCCAATTTAATAAAGTCTGTAAAAATAATGGACTTTTAATAACACAGGTCACAAAAGGCAAAACAGTGGAAATTCTGGGGACTAGCCACTGGTACTGGCTTATTAATTCTTAATTATGTTCATGAAAAGCAACTTAAATCGTCTGTTTTCTTATGCCTTATGATAATATTTTAGGTAACAACTCCTCTGAAATGTATGCTCTAGCTGATGAGCAAAGTCCTGTCATCACATACATTAGAAGGTAAATCTATTTGAAAAGACAAACGGCATTAAAATGTCATGTGTTCAGATTCATTTGATATCCAAATTCAAAACAGAACCAAACCTCTTAATTTTTAAAGCCAGTATATTTTCTGTCTATAGAAATTTATATAAAAAATTTAGACTGAATCCTCCATAAAATCTGTGCTATGACTATAGAAAGTAAGTGTTGTTAACGGCCACTAGAACTGCTGGCAAGAGTGTTGAGACAAGTTAGCACCACTGCAATAAGTTCACTGGAACCAGACTTCATGGCAATTTCATATCAGTGCCACCATGAAAATTCAAATTCTCATGTTCTCAACTATTATGGCATAAAGGGTGCTCAAGCAGCCTAACCTTCCATACCAAATTTCACATCCATATAGCTTAACTTATCAATGGTGATGTATAGATCATGAGACTAGAAAATGAGGATCTCCTTTTTTTGGTGCTTTTTTCTAAAATATTTTAAGTCAGTCTTGACTCTGATCTGATCATTGGCAACCTCTAAAATAAAAGATGTCAAAAAATAGTTGGAATGTAATTTCCTACAAAAGAGAGTAAGTCCTTGTTGCTTTCACACCAATGGACTAAGCAGATATCACAAAGTACCTGCCCATAAGTGCTATTACGTACTAGCTAAACAGAATATCACTAAAAAAGGAATGAAGAAAGAAATAAAGGAAAGGAAGAGAGAGAGAAAAAAAAATAAAAGGGAAAAGCAGGTAAGTTCAGTGGTTTTAAGAATTTCATCTCAAGACAATTTTGCCTGGAAATTGTTTACTTCCCATGTTCTTTTTGTGAAAATGAGCAAGAAGATAAAATAATTATGAAAATATAGGTATCTTATTGAGTATAAAATACTATATAGCAAAACTTTCACCACTACGCAAAGCATATTTGTGGTACAGATCTCAGACCACATAGCCATTCAGTAAACTATAAAAAAAAAAAAGTGATCAATTTTCTACTAGTTATTAGCAAATCACTCTATTTTTTTGCAAGTAGCTGGGAGATATACAGGGATCACACAGCCAGCTGACACTTTACAGTAGCCTTAACCAACAATTTGCTCTAATCAAAGGGAGACTTAAAATTTTAATCTGATCAATCTTCCTAAAACATGAATCATGTTTAAGATTTTCAAATTGCAATCATCAAGAGCCTGTAGGGCCAGTGGACAGTACGAAATTGTAAAAATTCCTACTTGTCAGTTCATTCCATTATAATTAACAAGAACCTGAGGTGGCACTTCACAGCACAGATGTTAAATCTTTCTCATGGCTAGGAGACTCTGCTTCTTCCTCCCAAGATCATGCATGCACAGGGCTACCATTCATAACACACTACCAGCAGCAAAAAATCAGTTCGAAAACATTAGAAGAAAAATGGATGTGGGAAAAACCAGTTGTTTTAAGAGGAAATGCATGGTTCTCATAATTGCGGTATTTTATTGCTTTTTAAGAGATAAAAGTGTACCAGTACATCCAGTGACAGGGCCAAAGTTGTCAACCCAACTGCACATGGGGTTCATCAGAGTTAGATGTCATGAAGGGATAAATGGTTTTCACAAGAAATTAAATTCCAGCAATCTCAAACCCAAAGGTTATAGAATAGTTTGCGGGCAAACCATTCTATGACAAAGGGAAATGGTTCTGTTTTTAAATAATAAAATTTCGGAATAAATCAAACAGGCTACCCATCATAGAACATTTGAGGAGGGGACCAACAAGTTGCCAAATCAACCCAAGTCCAAATGCTAAAGTTACAAATTTGAAAAGACAAAGAATAGATGCTCTCACTAAGGGGATGATACAAGGGAAGAAGGGAGAGAAGGAAGAAGGAAGGGTTGAGACAATGAGTGAAATAAAATCATTAATCATTAAGGCAGATATACTTTTATATTTACCAGTTCTTGCTTTTAGAAAACTGGTAAGATAAGATGAAATGGTTTTAATCTAAGGTTTGGAGAGAAATATAAAAAGAGTATCTGATGGCTATGATATATTAATCACTTTTAAATTTTTCATTGCTGAAGCATAGATATTTCTGTCTTGTTAATGGAAACCAGGATTACTAAGAAATCAGATACAGAAACAAGTAATCTTGTTTAAATTCAAAACAGGATATTATTTAGTTTCTTTCAACTTAAGTCATAATTATCTAAGTCACTGGCTTTTACCAAGATGTATTCTAACATAAAATATATATTAAATGGAACCTAGCAATTTAGGGGAAGGGAGATGAAATTCCACAAATGCTCACTGCCTACCTACCATATACTAGGTACCATAAAAGGAAAATATCTGATAAAAAATAGAGGGCACAATACTATCAACTACTCTATTTAAGGGTTCCTGATAACTACCTTTCAGTGTGATTCTCATGGGTTTAAAAGAGCCTCAGGTATAAAGTGGGAATAACACTTATCTTTAAAACACTTGTCTTCTTGTAATGATGAAATAAGATACAGAAAACACTTGGACTTGTGCCTAAAATATGGTAGGCCCTTAAAATTGGCAGCTATTTTACTATTATTAAATATACAATAATATTTAACAGTTTTATCATCATTTCTTTTAGGATTAAAAATGATAGTTTATACCTACAGGCCAGCACTAAGAGACTTTTTTTTGCAAAGGAAGATACAGTAGCAAAGATCTGTTGACTAAACAAACACTGTCACTTTTTTTTTTTTAATTTCCATTCAGAAAATGAATGGGCAGGTATTATTTATTTAGAAAATAAGACAACATTATAGATGCTGCATTTGTATAATAGCACAAAATTTTAAACATTCACAACTGGATACAAAACTAAAATCACTATTTTCTTTTAAATACATTTATATTTAATCATAACATGGTGAAAGGTGAAGGGGGAAGTGGACCATGTGGAAAGGGCATCCTCTCTTTATTTTTTAATTTTTATGTATTTATTTATTTTTAAGATGGAGTGTTACTTTGTCACCCAGGCTGGAGTGCAGTAGTACAATCTTGGCTCACTGCAACCTCTGCCTCCTGAGTAGCTGGGATTACAAGTGCCTGCCATCATGTCCGGCTAATTCTTTTCGTATTTTTAGTAGAGACGGGGTTTCACCACCTAGACCAGGCAGGTCTTGAACTCCTGACCTTGTGATCCACCCGCCTCAGCCTCCCAAAGTGCTGGGATTATAGGCGTGAGCCACCGCGCCAGGCCACATCGTCCCCTTATAACAACTTGTTCTCCTGGGAAGAAATCCATTCCTGGGACTACTAATCTAGCTTAATGAGAACAAGAGGGAGAACTCACTACCAGGAGACCAGTCAATGACATGAAGGGTAGATGGCCCAGACATCTCCCTTTAGGCTTCACCTCTTAAAGCTTCCACCTCCCAACATTTCCACACCAGGCATTAAGGTTCCCATATGAGTTTCGGTGGGGACGCTCAAACCATAGCATAATCCTAAATCTTTGGTTCAAACTAAACTGAGTTAGGAAAACAGAGTGTATAACTAAGCTAGGGGAAACTAAAGGTAAAGGCAGTAATCCTCAACCTTTAGTGGCCTATATATCACCTAAGGAGTTTATTTAAAAGGCAAGTTCCTCAATCCCATTCCCCCAGAGAAGGTGATTCAATAGATTTGTGGTGAGTTCCAGGAAACAGCCTTTTTAATAGGTCTCCAACCCCTCCCCATATAATTTTGATACAAG